GAACTTGTGCCATATGAAAGCAAATTTGGCTTCTTAACCAGAGATTGGAGAGCACATGATTAGTCTTCCACTAATTTTTCATCAGAACCAAATAGTATAAAAGAAACCCAGTTTCCTCTAAAAAGATTAAAACTTGATTCCTAAAGAACAATACATTGTCTCAGGCGCTCAACTAGACATGACTATACATCAATTTAGATACTCATATATAGATGTCTAGGATGCATATCCCTGTTCATTCATCCATTCCTTTCACATCAAAGAGTTACAAGAGTCCGTCTTCTATTTGAAGCCAATCCACCACCAACAATGAATTTTCTAAATTGAATTAGCCAGCCCAAAAAGAAAAAACAGAGCCAAACAAAACATATCTAAAATACCTTTTTCATTCTGCCATTTCTTCGTTGCCTACAGAACTCCAAATACTGAAACCAAAGCTGAATATCTCCCTTAAACCTATTAGTAGCCAGCCGATATATCTCCACGATTCTGGAGACACCGGCGTAATCCGCCACTGATTTCTTCCATTTCTTATCCTTCCCCGTCTGATGCTTCAACAGAGCTTTCTTCCTAAGCAGCCGCAGCTCGTCCAGCTTCTTCTCGTATTCGATATATGCCAAAAAGTCTTCCTTCAATGGGCTCGGCCTCTTTAGCCGGTACTCGAACTTCCGCCGCTGTTTCACTATCTCGGCTATCTCCCGCCGGCTGAACAAGCCGCGCCGCTCTAGATCCTCCAGCTCATTCAGCATCCTCTCCAGCTTGAACTGTACCACGTCCGCCATATTTCTTTTCTCTTTCTTTCTTTCTTTCTTTTTTTTTTGGTTCTCTGTTTCGTGGGGTTTTGGGAGGGGAAGGTTTTAGCGGTTAGGGGTTTATTTGATTCTGATTTCCAAGGAGGAAGATGACGGAGGTGGTATTGGGCCTAGAAATTGGGCTGTCCCCTTACTAAAAGATTTGAGGGGGTTAAGGCTTGATCTCTTTCCCTTATAACTGGGCTGAGTTGGGCCTACTTCCCTATTTAGTTGTTAGGACCCATTTCTTCAGTTCCCTCTCTTTTTCTTATTTCTTCCCCTCCCTTTTTAAGTTGAAAATATGTGAAAAGTTATTCTTAAGAATTAATCTTCTATACAGTGACAGTATACACCGTCATTATTAGAGGGATACACTATCACTATTAAATGCATGAAACTCATCTAAATTTAAATTTAAAATCCAAATTTTGTTCATGCATCATACATCCGACTATGATAATATATACACTGTCAATGTATATAAAATAAACTCTATTATTAAAGTTCAACATTTTGGTCAAGAAGAAATGTTCAATTTCAATTCTAGTTACTAGAAGTCTTTTGTTAGTACTTGGTAGGTAATAACATAAACTAAAAAAAAAAACACACACACACACACACAGAGAAAAAGAATCTACTAATATCTATCAAATTCTTAACTTACAATTGGTCAATTTTCCATTGTAATTATGGAAATCTAGTATAAGTGGAATTCACTCGTTTTGGGGAAGCAATAACTTGTTCTGAATGGGATATGAGATGGAAGCTAGATTCACAAATAATAAATGTATTAAAAAGGGCAATGGGAAGCGTGGCAGTATCATCATCATAGCAGCGCATTGTCAAGGTTGAGTCCACGCTCTTGATACATTTGCTGAAGGCGTTAACGGGGAAAGTGTAAGACCCACGCCTTCTTGCTTCTTTAGCTGGAGGATGCACTTTTGAATTGCATGAAACCAAACAAATTTCTGACGTGAATGTATCATGTGGTTTTAGGCTTTGTTGTCTCGGTTACTTGTGATGCTAAACTATTCACTGCAGGTCTCTGATGTATTGTACTATAATTTTGGCTCATTTATGTAGTAACTTTTTGAGATCCAATTAAGTTCTTTCTTTCTAAATCAGATAGATTCATATCCAAAAAAAGACCGACAATAAGTTGTTTCAAAATCGATTATTTGTCCCCAATTTTTAGAAATGTCTGCGATAGAATAAATAGCTCTACGAACCAATGGATCGTTTGAAGGAATATCAGCACTAGACAAATACAAATTTAGGGGATAGACTAAAGAACAAAGAAGAAACCAATGATCAATATAGCAATGCTAGAAAACATTAATTATTCATACATGTGACATAATTTCTTCGACATGAAAACAGTATTGAGGGTACGAAAATGTTAAAAACAACATAACATAGTAACGTCACAGACTGATTAAGCATGCAGCAAACATCTACTACTGTATATTATCTTCCGGCAGATCAAGGCTTCCCATTTCCGCGGTCACCAGAAGCAGCAGCTCCGGAGGCGCCAACTTCGCCACCATTACTACCTCTGCCACCACGATCAGCGCGGCCAGCAGTTCCACGTCCTCCAATCTGGCCTCCATCAATCCCAACCCCACCAGAAGCATCTCCACTTCCAAAACCTGATCCTACTCCACCACCACGAACACCACCAAGACCACCGCCAACCCCACCAGTGAACCCGCCACCTGGACCGAAGCGTCCAAAACCAGTACCGAACCCCTTTCCTAAGCCAACACCGTTGCCTATGCTACCACCTCCAAATTTACCGCCATGACCAAACCCTCCACCAAAAGGTGGGAGGAAGGGGTGAAAGAAAGTCTTTTGTAGGTCGATGGCCTTGGCCTTTCCCACGGGGAGCATCCTAGCAGTACATATGGTGAAAGTGAGGGCAGCCATCAGCACCAGAGACGGAATTTTGGTTGCCATTTTCGACTTCTACGAGGACACAACGTAATTGAGCGAGAAATACGTACCTCGAAAGAAGGATATATATACAAAGGCGGACCAAAAATGGAATTTGGCACAATCACAATTAAAAAGAATTTGGTTGGTCAATCTTTCAGCTATATTTCGTGTTTGAACAGTTTTGTGAAAGTATTGGTACTATTCTCATGATTTACCAAATTCCTGCCTGCATTCTACTCGATCGAGCACTCATCAAGGTGACTAGTAAGCCCGGATGCAGATTGGTTTGTGGCTTCCTCCCTTATTTTTCCATATTCCTGCTTGGGGATTTGCTTTGCATATGATGCCTGGTTATTTGCAGAATTTATTATGTAAAGCAAAAAAAATTCTTAAGAGTTAAGAATTTATTTGTTGACAATTGTATGAGACAGACAAGTTTCTGATGCACATGATTTTTTTTTTTTTCATGTAATTTAAGTGAAGAAGAAGCATATGTAGCTGCGCTGGTTGTACTTGTAAATTAAACACTAGAAAGATTAGTTTCTGATCAAAATTTCTGCATTAGATGCACAGTAAAAGTCTCACATAAGCTACTTTACACCAATATGACATTGTCAAACAAATGCAAATGCTGTGTTTAGATATGAGATTATTTGAAATAATACTACTATGGCGTTTTTGTTGATGTAATGTATGTGAAATAAAAAACTAATTAATAAAAATTATATTAATGATGTAAGCGGGATAATATTTGCAAATTTTTTTTCCAAATTATACTATCCATTTTTTTTCCCAAATGATTTTGAAGAGCAAGGAGTGTGATGCAATTGACTAATTCCACTTAAGTATGATTGCAAATGTTTTGGACAAGCAACGATGGATTTCACAAAAAGGCAAAAAGCCTAACATTAATAAAGAGAGCAGCCACCATTCTCTTCCTTCTCTCTAAATTTCCTCCTCTACTCTTCCTTCTCCATAGAGGGGAGATCTTGGCCTTGAGCCAAGGTCTCCCTTCCTCTTCCTTTGTCCTTTGTTCTTCCTTCCATTCAATAAAGTCTCTTCTAGGGTATCCTAGTAAGAGTTTTCTTCTCTCCTAGGGTATCCTATTGAGAGTTTTCGTCTCTCCTAAACTATCTTAGTGAAAGTTTTTTTAGTTTTTTGTTCTTTATTTTCTCAGATCTTGGAGTTTTTTTAGATCTATATGTTAGATCTAAAATTTCTTCAGTCTTCTCGTCAGATCTCACTTTCAGTTTTGAGCTTGAATCAGTTGGATAGCAGATCTGAGGGAATATTTCAGATTTGAATCTATCTCGACAGATCTCATCATTCTTATTGGATCTTACAACTGTTGATTAGCAGATCTGACGATTACAGCATGCACAAAGAGAGCTGCAGCGACTTATTCTATGATAAAATGTTTTTCAAATTTATGGTACTATTTAGATCTGTTCTTAATTTCTCAAATCTTATGTATTTGTTAAATTACAGATCTATAATTTTAGTGCATGTTTATCTGCCATCAGGGCAGCAATGTATATCAATTGTGCTGGACGATTTCCAGTAATCCTTTAATGAAATATGCTTTATTATCAAAAAAATAATAATAATAAAGAGAGCAAGCCCAATGAAATACATGCAGGAGCGACTAAGATGAACTTAAGATGAAGGGTTACAAGATTAATGTATTCTTCTATCATTTTAGAGACTTCATTTGGCCAAAATTTTAGATAGGATCGGAGTACTAATAATCTTGGAAACTTGGCAAAAACCAAGGGGATATAATTAGCAAAAAGAATATGAAATTCATGGAGAGTGTAATACAAAATCTTTAAGGACCAGAACGTTTTACACTTTCTAAAAGTGGTTTTCGTATTCAATTTATGAATAAAGAAAAAAGAATAACAATATATACTCCAAAAAAAAACTAAAATTTCAGTAATAAATAATTATTACTTCATAAACAGTGCTATCAACTTACAAGATTTATGGTCCCAAAATGTAGTACTGGTTATCTATAATTCTATATGGCCGTTCTTATTTATTTACGAAATGTTAATAAATCTCAAATAAATAGGTTAATGTCAAACTACTGCCAAAAAACAACTATCTACCACACAAAAAATTAAAATAAAACAGTCAAACAACTACAAATCTCAGGAAGTAGAGATATTGTGTTCAAATTCCTCTTCGCTTCTTAAATCCTATGTCGTCATTGCTAAAAAAAATTATTTAAAAAATAAAAAACTCTAAATTAAATTATAAATCCCTTATGTCTAGAAAACCATGTAAACTTTACCATAGTTCTACCAAGTTTCAGTTGAATCGGAAAAATAAAAAGAAAAAAAGTTTCAGTCAAGTCTGAGCGATATTCTAAATCTAAAATACATAGTCATCTAAAATAATTTTTAGTTTACACAAAATTCAAGTCAACCAAGAGTGAGCTCAAGATTGATATCATCCTCATCTTTGGTGGCAGATGATCCTGGAGCTTCTTTGTAAAATATGGTGCTGCATCCACCCTCTACTATTTTCTTCATCTTCTTAGAACTGGAGCTGGCTTCATCCGGAACTTGCTCGTTTTTCTCATTCACACCAGCCTGACAATTGTGCGAAATAAGTCTAATTTAGAACCAGAAATATCCGTTTGTACCTCATGTTAAAAGACAACAGGAAGAATGAGACACAAATTATTTACTTGGCCGTCAATGCGACCCAAGAAATCGTTGCAGAAAATTGGAAGGGGAAGTTGCATATCGAACATATTCCTGTGATACTCTATGTTAGCTGCTGCAGGCATCTCTTTCCTACAAAGATTGCCAAGATTAACAATGCAACAAAAGAATATATAAATTATGCAAGGAAAAAGTTAATGTGGATTTTGTACGAACCATGTATTATTTGGCAGCCCAGGGGTGATCGTTGGGGGAAGCAGCTCCTTGTAGACTTGAGCTCCATAAGTAATTGAAGTAGGAGTATTATTTTGGTACAAAAATGGGGTACTCATGTAATAGTTAGGAAACCCGAAACCCAAACGATGTTTGTACTGGTAATGGTAATATTGTGGCTGAGGAGGGCCGGTGGGGTGAAGGAAGAAGTATGATGGTTGCTGAATCCCTCTCTGCATCTTGTTGCCCTTACCTGCTTCAACTCCTGCTTCTGAAAACAACAGCATACTATGTAATGATTAATGTCAAATCACTAGCACTAGGGTTGTGATTTTATCGCCCTTATCTATCTGCAAATGTTCATTTGAAAATCATACGGAAAAAAAGAAAATTTCTACTGTACGGTTGTGCTAAAACCTACTACTAGTCTACCGATTGGGATTTTATAGAATCAACTAATTAAGGTGCCTATTAAAAAGGAATATTTCTCTAATTTGACATTAATTGTACCACAAAAACGTTGAATGCTAAAATCCATTTAACTTTTGATGTATATAAAAATTGCTCTTTATTGTGAAATATAAAATGATCCCTTTTTGGAATGTTTATCAGTAAGTGAGTGTACCTGTAATTTCAAGATTATAGAGATAAAGATAACACGCTCGTGGACATACGTTACTCATATATATATATATATATATATATATATATATATATATATATATATATATATATATGTGTGTGCGCGCACGTGCATGCACCTATTGTGTTGACATATTGGAAACCAAAGTTAAAAAAATTCAATTAAAAACTATTCATTAAATGAAGTCCTTTTTCCCCCTCTTTTTCATAATAACACAAACATGATAATAAAAATCAAATTCAATTTTGAATTCACAACACGAAATACTTGGTAGTATAGTATTTGAGTTGAACTTTACTTACCAAAAACTACCATCTCAAATGTACACAAGTACGTTTTGCCATTTTATCACCTTTTTAGGTGGAATTTTCCTTATTAGGTAAGAATTAAGGATTAATTAATGCATACCTTTTATTGTCTGCTCTTGCATCATGCTTCTATACATCTGTCCATAGCAAAGTAAGATGTGAAATCAGAAACGATAGCATTAAAATTCCCAAATTCGATTCTCTATTAGAATTGCATGTTTCATTGACGTCATGCAAGTATTAGAATTTTTTCAAGCTACCACATTCCGGTAGAGGAGAGCTCAAGTGAAAACCTGCAGGTGACTCTTCACATGAGATACAGTGAGACCCTTAACATTCATCATCTGTAGCACTGCCTTAGGAGTTGCCCCTACCACCCCATCAAGAGACAAAGGAAAAAAGATGAAAAATAAGCCAGCATCAATCACACACACACACACACACACACGAGGATGTGAGAAAATTGACTTACTGTCTTCTCCGCCGAGGCGCTGGACAGCATGCACGAAACACTGGTGAAGATCCTGCGTCCATCGGAGCCTAGGCAACTTCGATCTGACATATGGTCTCACACGACTTCTAACACTACTCCGTGATGGAATTTCAACCATCTTCTCTTCCAAGATGGTAACCGACGACTTATCGGTATCTGCAGAATTATCAAGGGATTGAAAAGATGGAGAATTGCTCATTTCTCCCAAAGAAATTGAAGAGGGAAAGAGAGGAAGCTAGAGAAACAAAGAGGGGTGCACGGCTCGGTTGGTTGGTATATCATATATGTGAAAACAAGCAAGGAATAAATATGAGTGAAGCTGTGGTCACATTTTTGGCGGTATGTGCAGCTTTTTGGAGTCAGTTTTTAAGTCTCTAAATTTTCATTATGAAGCAGAAAAATTCTTCACGGAATTTCAGAGTTTTCCTGATAAGTTCGAAATTGCATTCATGATTTGTTGAAAGTTCATCTGCAGAGAAGGATAAAGTGCAACAAAAGAATTTCGACCCGGCCGGAAAGGTTCCCCCATTGATGATATATACATATATATACACACACATATAAGTGGTATCACTTTTCAAGGACAAGCTATATCTATCTTTATGTCAATATCAAAACATTCCATTCTTGGTTATATATTAAGTACAACTAGCTAGTACTTTGTACAAGGCATCGATCATTTTGTCAAATGACAAATTAAAGCGTTTAATAATATTGTTAATCGTGGTTGAGTAAGAGCAAAATTAATCAACTCAACTAGTTTGGATTATGAGCAGCAGTCTAAGATGACTTTAATTAAACCTTGAATCTTATTAGTTTCTCATGAATTACGCGCAAAAGTGTAAGATAAATTTTATTGATACGTAGATTACATCTCAACAATTTGTAAATTATAAACGAAAAAGGGCATAAGAGGACTTTTAACTGATTTGAACAAAAATCTAATTAATGTCTCCATTGTGCTTAACTGTGTAACGCGGTTTTTCATTAATTTGTAAATGAAATATTTTACCATTTTCGGAGCTAAATCAATTAAAAAGGACAAATAATATTCATTCATTTGGAATTCTAAAATCTAAATGTTTTCCAAAGATTTATTAAATTGTAGTTAATAACTAGTGACATAGAGTAGTTAATTATCTCTGTTTTTACCGTTCAATTTGTGTGTCAAGACTTATCCACGAAGCTAATTAGTAAACAAAAGCAAAAAAACAACAAATTGCATACGTGAGAGAAATGAAAAAAGATGAGGTGACATAAGCAAACGCATGTCCTTAAGGAAACATACCAAAAATCCTACTCCCCAAGAAAACTCCTCACTCTTGAGGACACGGGGTTGGGATCCTCTCAAGTGGATTTTCCTCCATGAGTATCTCCATTTACTTATATCTAAATTTATATAAGGTTATAAAATTATGTGATTATATCATTAACTTTCTTTCAATCTTTAGATCAACATACTAAAAAAATGGTATTTTTTGAAAATATTTTGATGTTCAATTTACACAAAACATTTGAACGGTGAAAAATGGGTCAAAATTGTGAGAAATTTGCAATGATTAATCGGAAGGCAAAACTTGCTTAATTTCATACAAAATTTTTTATAGAACGAACACAAGTAATGAAATATATTATGAACCGTGTGTTGATTTTTAGAATAATTTTTAAATTAATTTTATTAGGTGTAATGGAGAGAAGTTCTCTCCAATGCAATGAAAAAGAGGCTAATCTCAGGACAAGCTCTTAATTCCATCTAATCCGTCTAAAATTTTGCACAACAATTGATCAAATCTCAAAACTTTTACCCCCTCTTCACATCACACGAAGAGAAATGCTAACAAATTCCAACCCCTTGATCGTCATCATCATCATCATAATTCATGACATGCCTGGACCTCGCAAGTTCTAGCATCTCCCTCTCCGAACATGCTTCGCATGTAACACATTCTTCCCAGAGAGAGACACGTCCACGGCTAGACGTCATGGCCGTTTAGCCTGAGAACAAATCAAAACTGACTGGTAGTGCAATTTCTAAAGATTATGAGCGTTACATGGTGTAGATTAACATCTCCAGTTTCGAGGATGCTGTGTAGTTGTTTCCTGAAGGCTAGCTAGCTTAGAGCCAAAATGGCTGAAACCAAATTTGGACGTCGGGATGTGGTGTGGGGAATTCCATGCTGACAGAGTTTTGGAAGAAAATGCAGAGAAGCGGTTCCAAAATGGGGAATATTCTTTGGATGGATTTCGCAGAAGCATGGACAAGTGTCTGAGATATCGTAAGCATGTATGTGTATGGAGTAATTGAAGTTTGGTGGAATGAGAAGAGATGGATATTTCGTCAGGATCGATATTACTCCGATCCCTTTCCATTTCTCTTCTCTTTCTTGGCAGATCAGGTTTATGAGTGCGTATATAATCCAAAACAAGAATTATAGTTTCATCAGTTTCTCTGCTGACTACGAAAAATTTTGGGTCAAATTTTTTGTGCTTTGACGTTCGTTGTTATCCTCAATCTGTCGTTTGTATTTGCGCAAAATCAGCAAAGAAACTCTCTCATTGGAAACTTTGCAGAAGAGAAGTTCTCAAGTCGAATGCGTGATTGTGTGTTACGTAACCATCACGAGGTTCAATCTTCAATGGTGTCAACTGCGGTTAATTACTCCAGCGCTGCTTCAACTTTCTTAAATGCTCAATTTAGTCCTCAAATTATCAAAGCCTTTATAACAAGAGCTTTTTAAATTCATTAAACAAATCAATTTGGTCTTTTGGCTTCAATCAAGACTCAAGAGCTCCTGCTTGTGTCGTCTTAACCCCAACTTCTTGGGCATTTTCTTCTCTAAAAATAAATACTACAAACATTTTCCTGAAATAGTTCATATTTTTTCAAGATATACTATGGAACCAGAAGGTTAGAACAACTTGAAATTCGCAGCAAATTAAGTTCATTTATATAACTCGGAAGATATTACTTTGCTACTTAAGAGCCTTATATTGACTCGAGCTCTTGTATATTGATCTTTTATTATCTTCTAGTTGAAGATATATATTTTACTATTTGGCTAACTGTACGGATTTGTTTAAAATAGATATTACTATGTACCAGTGCCTTCCTCCTAGAGAAAAAGGAGAAAACGCAACAGACAATTAGGTGGTGATTCTTATATTTTGTGCATCCACAGCAATTTCACTTCGGTAATGGCTGGCTACTATATATATATATATATATATATATTCATTCTCGATGATTATGATTTATGATGAAGAACAATCCGGTTTGGCCACTGTTGCACTTGTGCGCTGCTGCACCTTTAGACTAGGATGGCAAGCAATACAGACCAAGAAGTAATAACCTTCTACTGAAAATTGTCAAGGAATAAATTCCAAAATTTTCCAAGAATTGAGGAAATGCTAGGGCAGGAATAAACCTGATACATAGCTTGAGTGAAGCTGATGAATTAATATTGCAACAACAATAGTAGTCACCCTCTCGTGACTGGTTTTCTGAAGACCTGCGCAGCTTCAAAAAAGAGGTCTAGTGTGGCGGCCTGATGCTCGGCCACAAAGAAGGGCATTCCTTGGGATTGGATATTCATCTCTCAATGAATTTGAAGGAGTATAAACTCTGAGATAGAACTGCTGACCTAAGTATTGCCTTTCCCAGTTCTCAGACCTAATGTTCCACATGCCCACATTGTCCAAAGCCAGGTAAATTGCAGTCCATGATCTGGGATATACCTGAATTAATCCAAACATCAGTAAATTGATATGTGTCCAAGCAAGTGTGCCTTCACATTGATGTTAGTTCATATTATTAAGTTCTTTTGGCGCGTAAATTTTCACAGACCTGAGTGGTACATCGAGAAACTGTGTCTCTCAAATTGTATTTTGATCTACTTGCTGGTGTCCACTGCCCACCATCCATACTGTTCAATCCATAATTTAGCATCAAATGCGGGAAACAAATCTTGACCAAAATTGTTAGTCAAGCAAACTATCTTACTTACCCCACAACGAAGAAATTGAAGCCATCTATATGCCATGACTGGACAGTGTTCTCCCAGTTTTGGAACACAATCTCAATAAAAGCTCTGTAATCTGCATGCATTACGGCAGTTGCAAAATAGGCATTGCCCCAGGAAGGTTTATCAGGCATGCTCCCAAGATTGAAGACTCCCCCAATCTTGAAGTAATCAGCCAACTTCAGAGGAGTATCTGCAGGAACATAAGAGACACTGTTGACAGCATATCTCAGCTTCCCATTTATGTATGGTGCAGAGTTTGCAAGAATGATTGTGCGCGAAGGCTTGATCAGTCCATAGTGGTAAGAACCTTGTGGATTAGGTCTTGGTGCACTTGCTGTTAAGTTCCAGCTGATCTCACAAGACATGACATGACAAATTAAAAGAATTGTTATGAGGTACAGCACCATCCAAAACTTTCATTTGGCAATACTGACCCGACAAAATGGCAGATAGGAATATTATATAACAATCCACCATAGGAACGATAGCTTTCACCATAAATTTTAGGTAAAACAAGACTTACCGTATGGAGCGAGCCTGGCTCAGGGACGATGCAATATCAATTGTAGGTCCTCCAGGGGGAGGACCAGAAACTCTGGTAAATGAGTTCTTATAGTGGAGAACAGCAGTAGTTGTGAGCACACGAGAAGTAAAACGTGAAGAAACTACAATATAGTAATCCCTTGCAGGCTGGTTTGCTGTGACTAGGACAGAACAGGACTGCCCAAGATGAATGTCAAGGGAGGTGTAGTAGTTTTGGAGCGTATGAGATCCTTCAACCTCCACCAGTTTCATTGAATGTCCCTGGATTCTGAAGTTAATGGAAGTAGCAATCCCAACATTTGATATTCTAAACCGGTATGTTTTACCTGCAAACAAAAAAATTTCACATTGAGATGACGAAGGCATAATCTGCAGGCATTCAAGACCTGTTCATTTCAGTTAAAAGCAGAACAAATACCTTGCTCAACTGTAAATGTGTAACCATTCCATCCGCGACCATTAATCAGAAGCCCATCCGGGAAGGGGAGACTGTGACCGCTATCCAAGATATACCTTAATTGCTGAAAGATCACAATGGAATATCACATATCAGTTCGAAATAGTTTCCAAGTAAGAATTCAGAATTCAGAACAAAATGTCTCTTATATGTTGAAGCCAAGATATGCTTACTCGGTGACTTTTCTTGAACCAATCCCCAGCTAGTACAATAAAATCACCAGCAGGGGGAGGGAATGGTACCGG